CACTCTTGCTCAGGCTGGTCTCGAACTCTTGAGCTCAAACAATCCATCCGCCTCGGCCTCCCAGAGTGCTAGGATTACAGGTGTGAGCCATCGCGCCCGGCTGCAGTTCAGTTTTAATGACTAGCACTAGGCAATGTGCACTCATGCATGTACACACAGATACACATATCCATCAATACACACCTGAAACACCGAAATAGCACACACGCTGACCAAAATCACTACTCTAACATCTACTTTAGGGGCTAAGCGCCTGCTATAGTAGTGGTAGTAATGGCTGTAGTACTCTTCTGGATGATCCAGCATGTAGTCATAATCTTTTCGTGTTTCTTCATCCTGTAAAATGACAAGATATCCAATTTCATAGGACATTTCATTAAATGGCCTTAGTTTATAATCTGTTAAGTCAAATCTAGAATTTTATAATTATGTAAGATTAATGTGAGCAAGAGAATTGAAACTGTCAAAATCAAAAATTTCCCATTACTCTTCAAAGACATATAAATTTGTTTCCAGAGCTTTAATACTAGGTATAAAAGCATAATAAAAGTATTTCTTGAAATTCTTGAGTATTGCTAGCTTCCAGGAAAAATAAAAACACTTTAATAACAATTAAGCATTTAGTCTTTTTACTTTTTAGCTCATGCTGTGGTGCTAATAAGGATGTCACCATGTTCCTATAACTTAAGAGCATGTTGACAATTATTCTTAACTGTTGATTTAAAAAATTGTTTATCCCTTGTATATATTCAAAGTCATGTTCCAGCCTTGTATAGAAAGTTTTCTGCTAAAAGCAATGATTAAGACAGCACAAAGTAGATGGAGCCAGTCTGTGCCCACAAAACTGAACTATGCTCACCTCAGAAACATTGAGACATCAATGCAGTACAATGGTCAGAGTCTAGCTTTGTGACATTGGGCAAATTTTAATTTGCTAAATTAAATTTAATAGCTAAATTTTAGGCTCTTTGAGTCTGACTATTCCTCATTTACAAAAAGAGATAACAATACCTGCCCTACTATTTCCACATAGTTGTTTTGAATATCAAATGGCAAACATTATATAAAAACATGCTACAAATATGTAGTGCTTTACTATTATAACACATTGTCATAGCCTAGTACATAAATGAGGTAACTATATAAATCTTTCTTACTCATACAAACTCACTGAAAGAATTATAGCATTCTGAAATGCTGCTCTGAATGTTCACATATA